TGTATATGAGATATAAAAATCGTAATAGTACGCTTATCAGAACTCAGTAATCGGGTTGAGGATACCCTTTGGGAATCAGAGATGAGTGATATGAATTTGAAACATGACGTTTAATCACAGGATTGTGGGAAAATTCAACTATACGTCCTTCACCATCTGATGCAGCCGAGGCTGATCAGAACCCTTATTCAGTGTTTGTGAGCAGATCTGATCACCCTATTCCGTTAAAGATGATAATCTAACTGTTGGTTGAACTTTTCCGCAATGATATAAGTAGACCCTACGTTCCCATTCCGGCTAGAATGGATTGCAGTTTTGACCTCGCCTCAACTGGTTTCATCTCCATTACATGCGGAACTCGAACCATAACACTTTAACCACTACGTCACAATGCCACGAATTCCCTTGGGTCATACACAGGACAGATGTGATTTTCACTAAAGGCCATGAGACATTTTCCTATATCACATTATCTGGTAACCTAGCCGATGAAGTAATGCTATATTTGCTATAGAATTTGACATTATTTATTTTTCGTTTGGAACTAAATTTTAGTGACTACCAGTGTTAACCCCATTTCGTTTAAATTGGTGAAAAACGAGTAATTGAATTTCCCCAAAATTTTCTTGCATCCCATATATCTGATTTACTAGTAGTCTATGAAACATACTTGCAAACGAAAAATAAGTAATATCGTCGATTAGTTTAGCAAATATGTCTTTGTCTTATCGACAATCCCACCATAGAATGTGATATGTGAAAAAGCCTCCTGGCCTTGCTTCAAGATCACATCTCCCGTGATCCAGGGCACTCGCGGGACTGTGGCATAGTGGTTAAAGTGTCATTATTCGAGTTCCGCAAGGAGTGGAGATGAGACCAGTTGAGGCGAGGTCGAAACTGCAGCCCATTCCAGCCGGGATGAAAATACATTTTGCGAAGCAAGGGAATATGAAGCTCAATGGAAGCGTAAGGTCTAATCAAGTGTAATTGCGGAACAATTCAACTACCGAAATATGGTGAACGCATTTCAGATAACTGATTTAGTGACTAATAAAAGTCAT